TATATATATATATATATATATATGGTGCGTTGGTTTGTGTGCCCCAGCGATCCATTGAGCTATGCTGGGTGGTGCTTTTTTGCACCCTCAGAGCCACTCATACCAGATTGGTCAATGGTTAGAGGCCAGACAAGCTCAGCCTCCTGGTGCTCCAGCTTGGGGCTTGGAATGAGGTTACTCCTTATTTCTTAAAACGGACTCCTTGTAGCCCAACGCCAAACCCGCTGCCTTGCGGCAAGGTTTTCGAACCAAAGACTTTGGTTGAGAACCCTAATCGTTCTCCTGTCTAGCTCTGTACAACCTGACAGCATCCTGCCCATACAATACAATGAATTTCCCTTCCAACGGTTTTTGATGCTCTGGCCACCACAGAGGATAATCAACGGTGCCCTGTCTGCTGCATCGAGCTGGGTGGATAGGGGTTTGAATGCTACTGCTTAAGTCTTCTCATCTTCTTATTCCCCCTGTTACGCTTTCTCCCTCTTACCTTCCCGTTCCAACTTTACTTTTATCCCCCTGTTTTCAACCCCCTGATTCTTGGCCCTCCTCCACCTTGCTTTGCTAAACTTTTACCTTCTATTTTCAACCCACATGTGAACGCGGAGCATCATTCCTATCTTGGCGACAAGCCCATGTCTAACCAAGCGGTCCATTCCAGTTCATCGGCTTCCATTTGGAACCATCGACCTTCAGGTTGGCATGCCTCGATGTAAGCACATTGCTACAGATCGGTCAACAGGCAGCACTTGCCCGAACATTAGAGAGCCTCTCGATCGATATCTGCTGCTTATCGGAGACCCGCCTGCAGGACTCGGGCTCTGTGCTCACTCTGCGATCCCCTTCAGGTGACGCAAGCAGTACTTTCTCATTGCGCCATCCGGTGACGATGCAGCTTCGAGCACCGGCGAAGCTGGTGTTGGCATTGCCCTGAGTTTCCGGGCTGAAGCTGCTCTGGTTGACTGGATTCCAATCAGTAGCCGGTTGTGTGCGGTCCGATTGGCTGGAACGTTCAAAGCTTTGAAACCGCGCGGGACTAACAGGTGTCTATTCGTCATCGCTGCCTATGCCCCCAAAAACTCTAGCGCTGATTCCGTAAAAGACGACTTCTACGGCCAATTGAACAAACTTCGACACAGGAGGAGCTCGGATACTGTTGTGCTGGCTGGGGATCTGAACGCTCAGCTTGGAAGATTATCCATTGCTAAACTGCATCTGGGCGGCCAACATGGTGTAGGCTCCCTTAATGATAACAGCGAGCGGTTACTTCATTTTTGTGGTGCTCGCTTATTTCTTACGAGCTCTAATTTCCGACACTGCACCCGCCGGAGGATGACTTGGCGCCCACCAGCTATGGACGCAAATCGATCACATTGCGGTAAGTTACCGATGGAGAGGCTGCGTCCAGAACTGTCGCTCGATTTGGAGCACATGCGTGGACACCGATCATGCACTTGTATGTGCTGACATGCGGATGCGTTTTGGCGGACGCCCACCACGACGACGTGAGCGCATAGACACCAGCCAACGGGCGAAACCAGCTGTTCTGAATGCCTATCAGAATACTCTGTCATGCGAATTGAGTAAGCGCTCACTGAATGCAGTTTAAGCTCACTGGTCTCATATCCACCAGACCTTACTAGCAGCAGAAAATCCTTATGTGGACTTTGGGTCTCTTAGCAGTCTCTGGAACAAATCCATACTCGTCGGCATATTCCGGCTGGAAGCGAACACAATGAAACTCGCAAAGTGCTCCGGGCAATACTTCGTGCTAGCCTAAGGAGAGACCGCGAATCCTGGTGGTCACATCGTGCATCAGAGATGGAAATAGCCATTGCCCTTGGTAACCATCCTAAGTTACTCCGTTTGATACTGAAAGCGGGCAGCGGGAGACCTGGTGTAAGTGAAACTATACGGGACGAAAGTGGGCAGTGTATCCACAACTTGTCAAAACGCTTGGAGCGTTGGGTTTAGCATTTTGAAAGGCGATTTAATCGGTCATTGTTAGATTTTTCGCCAGCCACTGCTGGCCTAGCTCCGTTGGCTGTTCCGTTGGGTCCACCCTTTCGCTCAGAAGTCTAACGTAAGCTCGGATTATTGAAGTTAAATAAAGCCGCGTGACCAGATGACCTTCCTCCTGCCCTCTTCAAATTTGAGGGACCTGCTCTTGTGGATGATTGATACGAGTTACTAGGGAAACTGTAGGAGCAGGAAACTGTCCCAGCCGGTTGTAGCCGCTCCGTCATATTCCCAGTTTTCAAGGGAAGCTCTGGATCGGAATGCGGCAGCCATAGAGGAATCAGTCTGATCTCCATGACCTCCAAATTGCTTGCCTCTGTCATCCTTCACAGACTGACTAGCACTTATGAAAGCCATATTCATGAAGAGCAAGCGGTGTTTCCTCCAGGTCGTGGCTGCATTGACCACGTCTTCACTTTGCGTCAGTTGTTGGAGCACCGTCACATATATTGGCGACCGACCGTTGTCGGGTTCCTCGACATAAAGACCACCAGTTCCTTCGTAATTTAGCTCACATCTGGTGGGAACACCGCGTGAGCAACGGGCGTGTTCGACGGCTTGTTTAGGCACAGGAAAAGGAAATGAACCGCTCAGTACCGTTATTTCACGCACTAGGCTTTGGTGGCTTGGCCACGTGTTACGCATGCCAGCCCACCGACTTAAGCGACGTGCGCTGTTTGCGAGCCGGGGGTGTGGATGGAAGAAGAGGAAGGGTGGCCAAGCGATGACTTGGTCAAGAGGAATGAAGGCCCTCACTTCGAAGCTGGCCTCAGTTGGAGTGTCTCGGTTCCCTGGTTGGGGTCCAAAAGACGATGAACACGTTTGGCTGGATACACTTGTTGATATGGCTAAGAGCTGATCTCAGTGGCGTTTTTGCTGTGAGTTTCTTTGTCCCACTCCATCCCACTCAGCCTCCTTCTCCAACCACGATCTCACTATTTAACCTTATATAATTTTGCATAGTAATATCTTTTATGCACAATAGCCAGCTGGTAGCTTACTGGAACGCTGCCCATCCGTTACCGATAGCACAGCTGGCTTGCACCTGTTTCGTTTTCCGTTTTTTTTCTTTTAGGTATTGCGGCACAGTAGTTGAGGTGTTTGCCGCCTCTAGATAACGTGTATAATGATAATGATGCGCTAAGCCTGGCGGTGGCTAAATCCAGACATATGGTCTATCCACTGCTACTACTGTTGTGCTATGGGCTCATGTCCTGCACACCTCCTGGTGACGACCGCTGGGTGGGATTTGACTTATGCCCTTCTCACTGCTAAGATCCAGGACGCCATTCCGCATGAGTCATTGAACTGACCGTGTGCTAGACCCGTTGTCTTTCGTTTGTATATTTACTCGAAGGTTTTTGCTGAGGACCCGAGTCGTTCTCCTGTCAGGTGTGAGCACTCTGCCAGTATCCTAGTCCATCCTCCTCGGATGTTAGGAAGTGGTCGATGGCCCATTTTCCCTAAAATCTAGCCATGGGAGACAACTGGTCCATGGGCTATAAGCTTACCGTTTGGTTGGCGTAGAGCACGAACTCCACGCATTATCTTTGACGGTGGTAGGGCACCTCCGGGTGTTCACTGGGTTGCTACTGCCCGCCTTAGGACCAGGCAGCCCCTGGGCAAATGGGTACAAACCCGCCAAAACCCACCTGCGTCTGGTCGTGGTCGCAGATGCGTATCCCACAACGGTCGCGAAACATATATGAATTGTTCCAGATCTCCAAAGGCTGTCTGTGACAGACCTCAAGCTGATCCGTCTGTCTCTGAAATTACATTACTGAGCTGGATCTGCTTCTGGTCGGCCGGTGGCCGAGTGGTCTGCACGTTTGCTTTGCAACCATAAGGTCACCGGTTCGAATCCGCATAGGTGTGGGCGTCCTCGCGGTATACTCAGCCCGCGCGCGACTGGTGGTGATCGCGCGGCATCGAAGCGCCGTTACGGCGTACAGCTGAGACATTATTATTATTTATTTGGATCTGCTTCCCACTGCCTTGTGCGTCAGGTTATTGAGTCAAAGGTTCTAGGCGGAGTCCCTCAAACATACCTCCAAATCACCCACTGCCTTGTGGGTCAGGCTGTTGAGCCAAAAGCTCCCAGGGGAGTCTCTCAAACAAACCTCCGAGTCAGAACCGCCACCTCGAGTGTGATTGTCCACCAATGCAATCTTATGGCTGTGCGCGAAGTACAGCATCCGGTGCTGAAACGTGCACACACTACTAGACCGGAACTCGAGTGAGCGCCCCGAACGACGCACTGCACTCGTTACGATGGAAATGGCGCGTTACCACATCGATATTGCTGCAGTCGGTGAGACTCGGCTCGCTAGGCAAGGTAAGTTGCATGAAGTAGGTGCTAACTACACATTCTACTGGGTGGGCAACGCCACCTCAGCACCACGTGAACATGGAGTCGGATTTGCAATATCCGATCGCCAGATACTTTCTGAATGATACTGGTTGTGTGTATCTCCGTTTTGGTTTCATACCAATTCAATACCACCTCTCTCCACCGTCAGTGGATCCATTTATCTCGCCACAGTCGTTGTAATCCTAGCACCACACTGCTGAGGACGAGCTATCCTCCGTAACGTAGTCGTTATAATCATTGTTGACAACAGTAAGGGGAATAAGAAAGAAACACGTTCGAGCCAAAATGAACTTGAGTTCGATCAATGAAACAGAAGACAAGACCTACCGTCTAGCTACCGGAATCATGGAATCGGATACAGTAGCCCGGCTGACTTCTCTGGGAACATATTGAGTCAGCATGCAGATTAAATTCTACAGTCCTGTGGATGATTGTGTGTGCTTCCGTATTTCGACTCCCGCTGATTTGTTTTAATGTGGTTTCCGTTCAGCAGATCCTTTTGTTTTCTCGTGCCTCATCTGTTACCTTCCACAGCTAAAACTGTTGCTTTCCGATACCTGCTTATTTCGCCAGTTTGTGTTCCTAGTTAATTAGAGTTTTCTTATCCTTTTCAGATTGAACCTTACATTTTATTCATTATCAATGCAAGCAATAATTTTGACGCATACTGAACCTGCCGAATTATGCCAGCTCTCTGTGAAAAACTCTTGCTGTTCCTTGCCTTTTGGGAGTTCTACAGTGCTTGAAAATCTTCTGCATCGTTTCATGGACAGCGATATATCTGACATTTTGATCACACACAAGGAATCACAGACAACATATTTTGAACAATTAACCGCTATGTACCGTGAATGTTTACCTCCCCATGTGTACATAAAGCTAGTTGTCATGCCCTCCGGGTGTTCCATGACTGAATTGTTCAGTCGCATTCGTTCCCACATTACAATGGATTACGTTTTCTTGACCTATTCAACTACTGTACTAACCGATCTTGATTTGCGAAGTGTGTTCCTCTCTCTTATCCGGAACAACGCTGCAGTAACTGCGGTGTTTTGCGGCCTACCGTGTTCGGAAAGCAAACACTTCAAGGCCCTTCCTCGCGAGGTGGTCATCACATCAAGGTCTGGTACTCAGTTGCTGGGCCATTACTCTCCAGCGGACATTAAGAAACAGACTTCTATTCCACGCTCTCTGACATCTCAGGGAGCCGCGTTTCTCGCCCGTACTGATCTTCGGGATTTACGGTTCTACCTGTTAACCAAGTCCACTATTGAAGCCTTCATTCGGCTTCGGTAGGCACAGAATTAACATCGATAACGTGATTTTCTCTTCAGTGAAGACTTTCCACACAAGAAGAAAACCATTTGGCAGCTAATTGATCTCATTTCTGTGGATGCAAATGGCACAACTCATACTGCTTCAGGTTATTTCCCTATTCTTCTCTTTACCTGCACCATTTTAGACTCTCCCGAAGAAAACATGGATCGGATCTCCGACCAAGTGGATGCGTTTTATCGTTGCAATAAGAAATCCTCTGGCACATGCATGTACGAGCATAAGACCCAAAGGATTTCCATCCAGCTTAATGATCCATTGTCGTTTGTGGAAGCTAATCGTATTGTGAGTCCAACAGCAATGTTGCCCATTTCTTCCATCATCGGTTTAAGTCTTTCAAGGGCTTCGAACCGCGTGTGCACATTTTTCACTGAAACTTGCTTTCACATCCAGCTGCTTTCTTTACTGTGTTGGTCGGTTTAGGGCTTCATTATAATAAGTACGTATGACTCGAGTCCCCTAAACAAACCTGTCTTGCTGGCTTTTGGGTCAAGATATCATCTGAAAGGCCTTGGGTAGGAGGAACTCTTGAGTACATTCCCTCCCTCAGAATGGGTACTCGGGCTCCGAATCCAAAATTTACTCATCACTTTGTTTTTCCTCACAAGCACACTTTAATGTTAAACTGCATTGAAATGCCCCAACTTTTTCATTTGTACTATTGGTTTTTCTACACTATCCCTCAAATCATTGGTTTCGTTTTGGATTAAAATTTTCACCGTTTGTATTCCATGTTAGAAATGTAAACCGACCAGGCTGTTTCGCACATTGTTCACTCTTGTGATTGCCTTTTACTGTGTTTTCGAACCACCGGACACGAGTTACAAGGTGTGGAGTTGCTTCCACGTGATCAACTTCTTGACTGGGAGTACGCTGAGGATGTTACCGTAATTTAAATGGCTTACAAACTTGCCAGACAGCGCTGGACAGGTTAGCACTGGTTGTCAGCCATTTCGGACTGCACTTTCCATCCCCAAGATGCTGAGCTTTCATCGAGGATTGGCATGATCATGAATGATTGTTCTTTCAGACTTTACCGGAGTCGAAGTTCTACCAACTGACCGACTAACAAACCTTGAATATGTGAACTACATTGCTCTACTTGGGTCTGACTCACTGACTATGTAAATACTATTAGATCAACTGGTACGCAGCATTGCATACTTCGGCATGTGTTTTGCACCTTCACAGTACAAAGTACTATTGCAAGACTAGACTGGTACGCCACTAGTTCTAGCTATCAGCGAACAGCCACTGGAAGGGGCAGATCGGTGGCTGTACAACCTCTGGTGGTCCCATCATTCAGTTAGCTACTTTGCGTATCAGCAAGGTTCATGTGGCTTTTCAGAGGCCCAGCCATTTGTGGAGCCGGCGGGACATCAGCCTATCAGTGAAAGGTAGGGTTTACAGCGCTGCGATAAATCTGGTGTTGCTTTATTGATCAGAGACCTAACCAGTTCGCAGGGAAGACACTAAACCCTTAATTGTGTTTGCTCACTGGTGTTCGCGGATCATTAGTCACATCTGCGGGGAACACCGAATGAGCAATGCTGAGGTCCGCTAGTTGGTATTTTGCACGAATCCATCTTGTGCTTCGTTTGAGTGTTTGCTGCATTTTGACTGATTATGTCGGCTAGGCCGTCCTCTGTACGCCCGTTGATCTACTTACTCGGCGTGCATTACACGCCGTCGCTGTATCAGCTGGAATGAAACTGCGAGGTGGCCAATAGATGACGTAGCATAAATGCATGAAGAAATTTACTGAGAGACCTGGTCAAGCTGGTGCATGCCGACTTCGTTTATGGGGGCATCGGGATGTTCCATATCAGTGGTTGCAGACTATCGGACATGGCGCAACCAGTGGCGTTTCTGCATTCGGTTTCTTACATCTGGCTGTTGATCTTCAAACCACGCGCTTTTTTGTTCTGATTTAGTTTTCTTTTAATCCATTCACAACGTCACTTTCTAACCGGTATTGTTCATTGTTATTCTTGCGACGTGAGTTGCGGCAACTGCCCTTCGGTGCCCGGATCATTATTGTTTAGCTAAACGGAACTAAGTTGGTTGATCGCCTCTTGCATTGACCGCTGATGATCGATTGGAAGTCGCTTCTAAATTCAACTATCTGGGAAGCTATATCCGATATCTTTGGAATGGAAGATGAGGACCTGAAATGTATAACTGATGTTCGAAGTGGTTTTGTTAATCTCCACTCATGATGCTGTGCGACATCACTCTCACACGGAAGGATAGAGTTTATACCGTAGTCGCTAAACCTAGACCTCGACAGAGATTAAATACTTGCTACTTTCGGCCATCTATGGCTGCTTTCACACTGCAATAGCAATGCGAATGTTTGACGTCTTGTGTATGGCGCGGGACAAACAAACGAACTACTCAATATCATTGTCCCACACACCAAACTTTAATGATGGGCCATGTGTTACGCGTGCGATCACACTAACTACTGCGAGGTGCGTTTTTTGGGTGACGAGGGTGTGGTCTGAAGTAGAGGAGTGGCCAGCCGGTGACTTAATCAAGTGGAATAAGGGATCTCACTTCGAAGTTGGCTTAGGTTGGAGCTTCTCGACTTTCTGTTTGGGGACCTAAACACGATGAGCACGTTGACATGGCCAGGAGCAGACCTCAGGGGTGTTTACTGAATGAATCAGTCTTAAATACAGTCTCAGTCTCATTCAATATGCACACTATCTATAGAAAGGAAAACACCTCAGCTATTGTACTACAGTATATAAGAATATAAAAGAACAAAAAGACATGCAACAGAGGCACGGGGGCTGAGTCACCAGTAACGGATGGACCTCGTTCCGAAGAGCTAATAACTGGCTATTATGCCGTAAAAATGTTACCTCATGTCTAGTAAATGCGATCGTGGTTAGAACGGAAGTTAAACGGGAACGGGAGTGACATAGTAAGTTACAACACACGCCACTGAGGTCGGCTGCTTGGCTGGGCTTGACCGCTTGGTTAGGCATGAGATTGTCGATATAGGGCAGGGGTGACGCTCCACATTGGCATGTAACTTGAAAATAGCATATAAATGCCTATCAACGCATGGTGGAGGAGGGCCAATAATTGAGGGTTGTAAACGGAGGGATAAAAGTGAAGTTGGAACGTAACAGGGAATAAGAAGACGAGAAGGTTTGAGCAGCAACATCCACTCTGCCACATACAGTAGATAGGGCGCCGTTAATTATCCTCTGTGGCGATCAGAGCATCAAGCAATTGTATTGCATTGGCAGGTTGCACTGCACTAGACAGAAGAACGATTAGTGTTCTTAACCAATGCCTTTGGTTCAAAAACCTGGCGGCAGTGGACTACGGCGAGTTCGTTTTAAGGTATAAGAGCTACCCTCACTTCAATCTTCCACCTGGAGGACCAAGTGATTGCGTTTGTCTGACCTCTAACCAATCTGGTATGAGTAGCTCTGAAGGTGTAAAAAGCATTACCAAACATAGCTCAATCGATCGCTTAGGCACGCAAACCATCGCACTACGGTAGAGTGCAACTTCATTACGGTGGAGATTGATTGAAGGTCAGCGGGAAAAGCAGTATGTTAACCGACTGGCTTGTTTAGGATTGTTCTCATTGGAGCGTCGCAGACTAAGAGGCGACCTGACAGCAAATTTTAAGATTATGAGGGGTCTCAGTGGCATTAGCCTGCTGATCTCTTTGTACCAGCTTCGTCGGAACACCTATGGGCACACCATTTGAGCCTCAAGAAGCAGAGATGCAGACTGGATATCCGGGCGAAATTTTTCATTAACGGCGTGGTACCTACTTGTAATTTGCTTTCTGCACTCGTGGAATGTGATAAGACAGAAGCCTTTAAAAGATGCCTAGATCCACTCTGTTTCCGGGACTGCACTGAGATTACTTGACTTCGATTAGTACCAAATATCCCGTGGTCGACAGGATATCACGAATTGCTTCGTGAAGTTATGAGATTTCTCTTACTTTTTTTGTCTTTGCAGAGGTGAAGAAGCTTGGACGTTGAACTGTCGGTGGCCCTAGATTGCTTACCTGCACTCAATACGGGGCGCTCTTTAAGCTAAGGCCTGTTTCGTCCTTGAAGACCGGACTTGAGCTGTAGCTGAGTTGCAGAAAAGTTGGTGTGATTGTGAGTACAGATACATGGTTTTCTTTAAATGATTCAATAAATGCGTGTATCCTACCCGAATTCTCGGGATGCAGAAAGACCGTCTTCGGTGTCAAAGTGGAGGTAGGATGCTTTTGCTTGTTTGTTACACCTATATTCATTGGGAGGCTCCGTACACCATGTGCACTCCAGGTGTTCAAGTCACTTCCTGCTTTCTGAGAGTGGGAGGTAGAGTCGAATGGACTGCCTCTGTTTACGGCAGCTCATCCTCGACGGGAGGAGAGGACAAGAAGCTTAGTGGGCTGCCGAAAGAGTTGCACCTTCAGCGCCAAGCTTTGTAGTATTTGGCGCCTTACGGACAGGCTTTTGAGCGAAAGGCTACGGACCTTAGTCGTCCTCCTGTCTAGGTCTGCCCGCTCTGGTAGTATCTCAGTCCACGTACAACCATAACTATTACTTTACATTTCGATCACATCCTACATCGGCCGTCGCGCAGATTATCAAGGGTCGCCTTATCTGTTGCATACAACAAGGCAGATAGGCGAACACATGCTATATATATATATATATATATATATATATATATATATATATATATATATATATATATATATATATATATATATATATATATACACTTGGGAAAGAAAGAGGGGAGGCGCCAGCAGTAGTATGTTTTCGCCTATCTGCCTTGTTGGTGGCATCCGGTTTCGGATTTGCCTGTCACTGTGGCAAGCCACAGGACGCCTGCGCCTACAGAGGGACCATGGATGGCTTGCGCTGCACCACCCACAGCTCCAAGCACACACCCCATATCCAGTGTAAACCCGAAGGAATAAGACCGGGAGGCATGTGGATGGGAACCACGTTTCATCAACGGAGCCGGCCCACACTCCTTCACAGGCAAACACAAGCACACTGTATTTGGGGAATCAAGCGCACACAAGGCGGTGGCTGGACCGTAGTCCGCTCCACACGATACAAAAATAAAAAACCATTTTTTTGGTTTTACACACGCCATTTTGCTTTTTTGTTTTTCTTTCGTAGTGTGTTGTGCGCATTAAAGGGGATAAAATGGCAGATCAATATTGACGCCACTGATATCTGTTGCGGGCCATAACATCCAGTGTTTCCAATCACTGAGATTCATCACTTCGTGCTCCCCAACGTGGAAGACGGACTGGTCCGACTACTGCCAAACTTGAGGTTGCCTTCTTCATGCTTCTTCTCCACATCATTGGCTGTCCGCCGCGGCACATTTTCCAACCGCTCTATGGGTGCAAATTGCGCTTGACATGGAAA